CCATCTTTCTTTTTTCTCCCCATCTTTCTTTTTTCTCCCCATCTTTCTTCTTTCTCCCCATCTTTCTCCTTTCTACCCATCTTTCTTCTTCCTCCCCATCTTTCTTCTTTCTCTCCATCTTTCTTCTTTCTCCCCATCTTTCTCCTTTCTACCCATCTTTCTCCTTTCTACCCATCTTTCTTCTTTCTACCCATCTTTCTTCTTTCTATCCATCTTTCTTCTTTCTATCCATCTTTCTGTCGTTCTTCCTTCTTGCCTCATTCTTCTTAATTCTGTCTTTCTTTTTTCTCATTCTTTGAGTCTTTCTTTCCGTCTTTCTTTCATTCTCTTTCTTTCGTTTTCTCATTGTCTTTCACCACAAAATAACAAAAATTGTCTAGAACATCTTACTCTATTAGTTATCTCGTAACCCTTCTTAAAAAAATATTTCAATTCTATTAGAAAATTTGTAAAAAAAATGTGAAAAAAATAATTTTGGTATCAATAGGTAGAAGGTGGGAAGAGAGTGGGGCAATATCGGAAAGCTAATCTAGACTTCATAAATTACAAAACTAAGTAGTGCTAGAAATTATTTGCCAATCTGCAGTACTAGTTTAAAATCGGCGAAGAAAGAATGTTCTGTCAATACTAACAGCCCGAGGTTCATGAAACATAGATTGTCTACATTGATATGCAGAAATTTCACTAAAGCATCATGTATACGTAATGAACAACGTGTGTCACTTTACACGCTTATTACACGACAATGCGGACGGAATTATGACACAGTGTTGAGTAGTCAACGCTTAGCGCGTCACTTTTCGACATTTCCCCGGGTCACAGCATTGTCACAGGGAAGCGCAGAACTGGCCTCTAGTCGAGTGCTCTGAAGGTTTAGTCACCATGAAGCGCGTCGTTTCTCCTCGTTGGCGAAAACACACGATTTCAAAAGAACAACAGCACATAGGACATTAATCATGACTCTACTGACTTTCGTAAGTAATTTTGTATCATTCTGTGTAGAAATCCTGCGGGAAAGACCGATCGACTGGGAGGGATCAGAAGAGCCACACAATCCACCTCCGAATTTTCGCTTCCTCGTTCGCTTGGTCTGCAACATGACTTACATTTAATTGCTATCTCCTCAAATTAAAGCGCATTTTCCGCAAGAACGAGTGTCCTTTTCCCGTGAAAAAAAAAGGGCCAACAGTAACCCGTTAGTTGTTGGCTTTATCCCCTGTGCGAAACAGTGCCCTTGAACTGAACTATCATAACTCACGGACGCAGATCACGAGAAGTTGTCTAGGTTCCTAGCAATTCTTCTGTTCATCCGGCACGGAATAACAAGTAACGCTTCCGGGAAAGATAATTTCGTAGAATGAAAAGATAACATCTTTCCTATTACTCTTTATTATGTTATTTTCCCGATTAATTGTACAGATACTTTTTTTTCAATTTCTTATTTTCACGTGAACCCTTTTAAAAAAATATTATTCCAGTAATACAAATATTTCGAAATATTTCTAGCATTTTTCATTAATATGCATTTATACATTTCACTTAAAATTGGAAATTCAACACGCTGAAAATTCTAGGGGATTTCCCCTCTCCTCCTAAGTTGCGCCATTATGGGTAATTCGAATGGAAATGACCACTTCGAAAACTTTTTTCGGCGTCTGAAAAATTGACAGTTATTAGAGGTGGCCCTTTAATCAAGATTATAAGGTTAGATGATATCAATTATTCAAAAATCTTTCCGTAACAATAATGTCAATGAAACAAATGTTTACCGTCAATTCTAGCCTGATCACACTGCAATACCTTAAACGGGCTACGGAGAGCTCACGATTATTTCTACCCAAGTGTTTTATTTCCGTCCGTAGGACCTGGTATGGGAATGATTCCCCTTTCTCCCATGAAGAGGCTCCGGCAAAATAAGCAGATGTTGGCAAAGGCCGCGGCCGATATCTCTATCAATCGAAAATAATGTTTTTTATTATATTTCTAATATGCCGCACAAAATACGTGTAGCATTTTCAGATACCTGTTATGAGTCTGTCTAAATAATTCAGGATATAGGATAAAATTATAAATTATGGAAGTTTTACTTTCAGGGTTGAAAAAAAGAATATAAACATGCGAGCAATGTTATCAGCAAGCTCTTCAGCACGAATTTTGCTTCACTGCCGCATTGTAACCTTGCACTTCATTCTGTGCATTAACACTTCGTGACCAAGGGGAGTACAATTCAGTGATTGAAACAGCGTTGTCTCTCAGCGTAATGAGTTTCCACATATTTAATGTAATAAGAAAATTCAATTCTCTAGAGCTAGTTATTATAAAAATATTCGACACTCGCCAAATAGCTAGGCGTTACTGCTCGCCTAGTCTAAACTAGGAAGCTGAAACTTCAAGGCTTATAGAACTCGTAAGTTGGGAAATAAGCAATCACGGCGATAATATTAATCTCATTTCAAAGAGATGTGCAAAGTCTTTATCTGACTGATTCCTGCAATGTTACGGACTGAAAGCTACCTTACAAGTAAATTTCATTAGTTTTCATTACATTTATTCTATTGTTCTACGAGTATTAAAAGCTCAGTAGTTGAATAACTTTGGTTGCTACCGGCCACTAATTATAAATGCCTTGAGTTAATTTTTTTGTCACAGCAATAAAGATTGTGAAATGTTAGCATTTAGTGTCTATGCTGAATTGTGTAATCTACAATGATTGGTAATAACGAGGATTGTAGGATTAAGTGTGTGATATTCGTTTGAAATAATCTGTCTTCATGAATTAATTTATCCGTTTGCAATATTCAAAGAAGAAATAACGCTCCACAGTCATATGAGTATTTGTGAGTCCACATCGACTCTTGCCGGTAATAAATACTTATTGAAGTTGTCAAGTTGTAGTGTATTAAGTTGTGGATTGACATGGATTCCACATTCTGTGCATTCCAAGTTGGCGCTCTGATTAGAATATGAATTGACGTGGAACCCTTTCTATTGTTCGAAAATTCAGTCAGTTAATTTAAAATAATATATTTCTCTACGAATATTGATGTGTTTCGAGGCTTCGATAATGGGGGGGGGGGAGGTTCCTGCTTCAATTTCCTTTTCCTCCCTCGTCCTACTCCCCTAATAAAATAATCCACCTAACCTTTCACAAAATAACCTATCTCACGCGTCCACGTCCCAATCCCCGTATCTGTACGGGGGAATGTGGAGCAGTATACAAACTGACGCCCGCAGCTACAACACCCGAGCTGGAGTCCCCAACAGCAGAATCGGCTTCGATTCCACATTCCGTGGATACAAAGATGCAATGGCGGACGCGAAGGGGTTGATCGGAATGGAAGAAGGGAAGGAGATGGAGGAGCAAGAGAAGAAGAAAAATGAGAAGTGGTGGTGGTGGTGGTGGTGGTGGTGGTGGTGGTGGTG